AACGATCCGAGAGCGTCGAACTTGGAAATAAACGGAAAGGTCTGAATCTTTTCAACTTTATCTCTACACGGAAACTTAAACTTAAACTTGAGTTGGGTAAGTTATCGGCAGCTTCCATTTTGGCAGTTATAAGATGTGCTTTCTAAACTTTAGCTAGTGCACCCATGATGTCAATCTTGTTCTTTGGGGGATACGGAACCTTGAAAACAAACGCGTACCATTCAATCTTGAAGCCTTCCATTCCACAAACAACATTTCTTTGTTCTATTGACCATAACGTCGACAGCATATAGTTTTCTTGGCCTTTTTCTTCACTAAACACAATTGCATGATATTCTCTTAGGTCACTTTTTATCTTTCTATTAGGAGGTCATAACTGCTAATACGATATTGGACTGGGTATTGCAATTAATCCCACGATGGCGAATCATCAACCCAGCGGCGAGGCCGCTTCTTATTACAACACACAACAAGGTCCTACTAATCCATCTGGGCAACCTCCATATGGTCAGCCTCAATACATGCAGCCTAACACTCAAGGTCCAGCTCCAGGTCCCAACTATAACAGTTACGGTAACGAAAAGCCCATGTTCGACCAGGCATTTAAGCTCGAGCGTCCCAAGTACAATGATATCTGGGCCGGCATTCTCGTGTGTTGTCCTTCTCCAATATCTCAAATAACTGCTGATCGCCTTAGTTCCTTGCCGTGTGCGCAGGCTTCGTTGCTGTTTCTGGTCTATCGATTCATGGTTATGGTCAGTGCAATGATCCCAACACAACTACCTGATCTTACGTGGACTGACCAATCATAGCCTCGACGAAAGGATTCCAAGGAGGCGGTATCTATGATTCCGGGTCAAGCGTCGGACTTACCACAAATACTCTTATTCTATTTGTCTTCTGTCTTTGTGTCGCTATTGTCTTTAGCTATGTCTACGTGCTTTTAGCCCGTCAGTTTCCCAAGCAATTCATCTGGATAACGTAAGTCTCACACCCAAAGACATTCCAAAGAGAACAGGATAGTAGGACTAACCGCTGCAGTGGGATCCTGAATATTGTCTTCGGGTTGGTGACAGCAATCTATATGCTAACACGCCACTATTACTCCGGCGGCATCGTATTCTTGATCTTCGTCGCCTTCCTCATATTTGCCTTCATCGTAAGTCTAATTTTCTATAGCTAACCCTACCTCTACTGATTGGCCCCTGTAGACATGGATACCGCGCATTCCCTTCAGCGCTCTCATGCTCAAGACATCTGTCGATGTTTCCAAGAATTATGGCCATGTTTATCTAGTTAGTGCTCTAGGTGGCCTTTGCGCTACTGCTCTCGCTGCGTGGTACTCGGTCACTCTCGTTGCCGTCTATGCGAAGTACTCGCCGGGACAGAACCCGGCTTGTGCGGAAGGTGGCGGCGGATGCAGCAATGCCAAGGTCAAGGGTTTGATCGTCTTCATCACATTTGCGATGTACTGGATGTCTGAATGGCTGAAAAATACCATCCACACCACCATCTCCGGCGTTTACGGATCATGGTATTTTCACCCACACAACCTTCCTAGGGGTGCTACGAGGGGCAGCCTTCGGAGGGCACTGACGTACAGCTTCGGCTCCATATCGTTCGGATCATTGATCGTGGCTATCATCAACTTCCTGAGACAAATGTGCTCAGTCGCCCAACAGAGCGACGCCGCTCAGGGCAACATCGTCGGTACTATTATGTACTGCATCCTCGGCTGTCTGATTGGCATCTTGGACTGGGCGGTGCAGTTCCTCAATCGCTACGCCTTCTCATATATCGCCCTGTACGGAAAATCATACCTCGCTGCCGCCAATGATACGTGGAATATGATCAAGGATCGCGGCATTGATGCTCTCGTTAACGAATGTCTTATTGGCCCGGTTCTATCCATGGGAGCTACGTTTGTGGGATATGCGACGAGCTTGCTGGCTTATTTGTATCTCGTAAGGGCCTCCAGACGAACATTGGTTGGAGGTGACTTGCTCACATGATGTCATAGGTTTTCACTCATCCAGCGTACAATGCTGACGGTTCATACACACCCGGTAAGTCATATCCCTCAAATTTAATCCAGTCTATCCATGATATCTGCTAGTGTGGTACCGTCCTGGGTCTGTTCACTAACAATGATGTAAATAGTTGTGGTGGCCTTCGCGTTCCTCATCGGTTTGCAAATCTGCAACATCTTTACTACACCGATAAGCAGCGGCATCGACACAATATTCGTAGCGACCGCATGGGAACCCCAGGTATTGATGCAAAATCATCCAGACTTATTTGATGCGATGGTCCACGTCTATCCGCAGGTCCAGGTGGCTATTCACGCTTGAACACCTCCTGTGATGATTAGGGACCGCTCTGCTATGTTACCAAGAATTGAGTGTTGGAAGTATGCGCGACAGCAGGGATGCATTCATAGTATTTAATCTAAGTCCATCGGCTTCATTGCGTTGTGGGGGAGTGCACAATCAGGAAAAGCATGCGATCAACTTTGATAGTAATAATATCATAATAATACTTCGAGACTATATTCAGCATCATGAGTGTTAACGATGTGATGTAAAGCTGGGTGTATGTCAAGGTCGTGGCCTAGGTAGAATAAAGTAGTGCCAAGCAGGTGTTGGTCAAATTTGAATAGGGGCTTATATCGCTGTAGGTATGCAGCTAACTAGGTAAATAGAGCTAAGCAAGCAGCCGCTCCGGGCGGGTTCATTCAAGCGAGATTGTTCAGGTCAGTTCCTCCAGCTAGGTACCTAGGCCGCAAACTAACCGGTAGCTGAGAGCAGTGTCTACGCCGTTTGCCACTATCATCAGCCAACCTATTTCATTAGGCAGCTTGGTTATATCGTTACGAGATCCCTTTATTTACGCCGGTAGGCAGCAGGCAATAATGTCTGCTCTTTCAAGATGTCGCAGCAAGTCTAGGGGTATAGCATGAGAGGTATTTCCCCAAGAGCAGCACGATTCATTAGCTGTCCATTGTCGCCACCAAGAAAATTGTCTTTTCCAAACCAAAACACGAGAGGATACAGCATCATGGCGAGCAGCGATCCGTTCTCGACGCTGTTGAGCCAGGATACTCTCACTGCCAGACTAGCCGTCCTGCAGCCGGCAGCTGATAAGAATGCACCTATCGAGCTGAAACTCACGGACGCGGTGTTGAAGGAGACCTCCTACGAATGCATCTCGTACGACCGCTCGTCCGAGACTTCCAGCGCGCTACACAACACCATAACCGTCTCGGTCGACGGCTCGGACTAGCTCATCCCCAAGCAGCTCGAAAGCGCGCTGCGCACCTTCCGGCGCAAGGGGCGGCCGCGCACCCTCTGGGCGGACGTGCTCGTGGGCCGCACCGTGGAGGAGCGCAGCGCGCAGGCCAACGTGCAGCGCCACGTGCTCCTCAACGCCGAGCGCACCCTGTGCTGGCTGGGGTCGGACGGGGAAGACGGCACCACGACGGCGCGCCCGCGGACGTGCGGGAGGCTGTGTTTTCCATGCTGCATATCGCGACGCCGAGCCGGCGCGTCCTGTCCCACAATGCGGGCCCGCAGCCTCTCCCGACGGTCGACTACGCCAAGACCCCGCGCGCGGTGTTCGCCGACGCGGCGCGCTACGCCGCGCTCGAGCGCCAGGTCACACCATGCTGTGGCACGGCGAGCGCCCGCCGTGCGCGCGCAGGCTGAAGACTGGGCTGCTGAGCTGGGTCTCGGACTTCGGCCCCGAAGACGGGCGGGCTGTTCGACCCGGACGCGGGGATGCGGGCCCGGTGGGACCACATCGCGCCGGCGACGGCGCGCAAGCCGATCTCGGTGAGGGACGGCGCGGTGCACCTGCAGGCGCGGCCGCTCGACCGCATCGCCCGTCTTCGCCGCGGGCAACGCGCGGCGGCTCTGCCTGGCCGAGTTCCAGAAGCTGGTCGCGGCGCGCGCGTGGAGCGGTTCTGGCGCACTCGACGCGGGCGGCGACAAGTCCGCGTCCGCGACGCTGCGGTCCAACGCGCCGCCGCCGCCGCCGGCCCTCGGCGCGCACTTCGACATCCTGGTCGCGGAGGAGACGGTGCTGGCCGCGCTGGGCTGCCGAGCGACCCGGCCTGCGCGGCGCGCCTGGCCGCTTCGCCGGAGCTGATGGCGCTGGTGCCGCGGTGCGGGAGCGCGGGGCCGTTCGAGGTGCTGTTGGTTAAGCATGCGGCTGGGAGAAGGTTCTTCAGGACGGAGGGGGGCCGGTTTGGGATGTCGGCTATTGAGGATGTGGGGGCGGCGGATAGTAGCCTTTTGGAGGACACGCGGGAGGAGGGGGAGAGTGGGCAGAGGAGGCCGGACTTGGGGCGGTTGATGAATGATCCTCTTGCGAGGAGCATGATGGAAGGGTTCCAGCAGTTCCTGGAACAGAGGGATCCGAATGCTGCTCATCTAACTACCAAGGCTATGCGCGGGGAGTTACCTGGGTTGGATGAGAATGAGCGGACAGATGGTGGTGTGCAGGAGGGTGATCTGGTAGTGGCTTGTGTGGGAGGGTTCTTCCCATATATTCTGCGACCTCGGCGAGAACAAGGTCCGATATAATCAGATGAGGGAGTGGGCGAGACTGGACAAGGAGAAGATAACCCCCAACTACCAGGAGCTACCTCGGAGGACTCAGCAACGTATGAGTTCGTGGGAGAGTGTTATCTGCACGGAGCGATGGAAGGTGAAGATTTCCAAGCCACCCGCTTCTTTGGGCAAAAGTACTTCAGCGTGGACTCATCGAAGCTTGTCGATATCAAGATCATATAGGCAATGGAAATACTAGCCTTTTCATCGAAGTACGGGATCACGTAAGAAAAGGGACGAAATAAAACAGGAAAGGGGGCAAATACCAAAAGGGAAAAAAGCATTGTAATTCATGTACTAGCATGGTTGCTCAATATATAAAGCCCACTGGTAAATACTCTATCATAACAATGTGCCTAGGGCCAGAGAGCTTCAACAAGCCCATTCAAGGCCCATGTAGCTCAATGGTTAGAGCGTGGGACTTTTACATTCATTAGAAGTGGAAATCCCAAGGCTGTGAGTTCGAGTCTCATCATGGGCGATATTCTTTTTTTGCTCTTTTCCTACCTAGATAGCCCCTTAATAGGGGAAACGTAAACGCCACTTACTCGCACCTTATTGCCATGCAACTTATAGTAGGGAACGATGATAGTAGAGTTTTACTACAAGCCAAAGATATCAGCTTCTACACGTATGGTAGGATATACTGACTTTGAAGTGAGCGTAGTTGTTGACACGTCTACTTATTCTGCTGGTGTTGCAGCTCCTCTTCACTGCTACTGGTCACGAAGGTAACCTTAAAACCGAGTCAAACTCCATCTCACAAGAGGCAAACAAATTGACACTTTACTAATATAAATAAATATTTATTACATGAAGCAATAGTGATCCACACATAGGATGACACCTGTTCAGCAGATGAAGGATTCAACGTCATTCTCACAATCACTCTAACACATCTCACCCGGAATGGAATATAGCACAAACAATACAACTATAGTTCGTCCAAGAAAAACAGCGCAAAAGCTGTCAAAAGCCATATTAGAAAGCAAGCCTAGGTCCTAGGTCCCAGGTCTGACCATGTGATAAAAAGACGCCCAAGCCCTCAAACCAGCTAGCATATAAGTAGGGCCCTCCCGATCGAAGCAATCCAGTCCAGCCCCTCCCCTCAAGTCTTTGTAGGCGCCCTAGTAGGTAGCAAGCAGTCCGAGCTGCTTCGGTGCGAATACATATATTCTTCCCTGTCCGTCACCGGTCATCCAGTGAGCCGGGGTGAAAGACAGTCCTTCAAAACCACACTGCCTGTGCCATATTTTGGTGGTCTTTTCTCTTGTCCGTGTCACGCCGTGTAACTCCATCCTAACCTGTTCCACAACGAGAGCATATGAAATAAAAGGCATAAAGGGTTATACTCCTACTTATCCTCGAAATAGAAACGTCCCAGCTTATCTCCGTCTTTGCCGGAGGGGTTACCCAAAACAGGGGCACGAGCATTCTCTCCACTATCGAGACGTTCGCGGATGATGCGTTCGGCAGCTTCTCGGGTGGCAGGACCGCCTACACCTTCTCGGAGTGCGCTGGTTCGCGGCTGGCCGGGTTGGACGGGAACAGGTCCGCGGGTCGTGGTATCGACAAAGACATCGTCGTCTGAGGTGCCAACGTGCCCTCCGCCGTCCACAGCAACTCCATCGACATACTTCGCCTGTCGTGTCTCTGCAGCAGCAGATGCGCTGATGGGCGTGTCGTTACCAACTTCACGGGTATCTCGGCTACGCGACATGGCCTCCTGACTCAAGCCGGAGCTGCTCCTCTCCAAGCCCAGGACCCCTGGTGCGCCAGCCACACCAGGCAGAGGTCGACGGTGGTATATGGGGCCGCTGACAGTGCTGCCGGCGCCCTCACCGAAGGCGACGAGGCTGGCGGTGCCGTCGTCACTCATGCGGTCCTCGAAACCGCCGACGGAGCGACTCGATATGTCCTCGTCCATTTGGTCCATAGCACCAGAGTTAGAGTCGACATCCATGGTGTGATAGTTTGTGTCTGTGCTCATACCATCTTCATCAACCTCAGTAAGGTCAGCATCCATGTCGGCATCGGCAAACTGACCTGGCTCAGTTGTCGTGCGCGCACCGACACTACCCGTCGCAGAAGCCGTACCAACGGTGCTCATCTTGGTGATAGCAATAGGTTGGCCATTCGTGTCGAAGTAGGCGGGCGTCAAGTTGCCGACATTTTGAGTCGGCGCGGAAGCGGGCGGGGTCTGCGAGCCGTGTCCATTCCCGCCTTGTTGCTGGTTCGAAGCGCGGAGGGTCGAGACTCGTTCCAGGCCGGCGAGGCGACTAATTCGATCCGCGCGTTCGGCTTCGAGGCTATTCGTGGACGAATGGTGGTTATGGCGGGGACCTCCGAGGCCTTGAAAGGCATGGCCGCGATGGCCGTCCTTGATAGCGGTAGTAGATAAAGCGGATAGGGAGGTCGTGGTGCTAGTAGGAGTGCCACTGTAATCGGAATCAAGGTCAGAATCAAACTCAGAGTCCAAGTCATGGTTAGGTCTAGTTGGAAGGTGAGGCTGTAGATGGAAGGCAGCGGTTGAGTTGAGAGGAGTAGGTATGGCTGGGGGGATCAAGGTAGCGTACGGCATGTCGCTTGGCGTCTCCGGGTTTGACGGCGGGGGAGGGACGTTGATCAGCATTGGTGCTGTCTGTTGTTGAGACATGTTTGCTTGCTTAGTATTTGATGTCGTAATTTGTTAGAGAAAGATAGAAAGATTTCAATAATGATTGTTGAAGATGATAGGAATTTAGTTACGCGTTGTTGGCGCGTCTCAGTCGGGTTTTTAGGACGTCGCGGATGACAGGATATGAAGATGGGCTGATGCGATTGTGGTGCTAAGATCGGTAGCAAGTTAGAAAATGGTGGTGGGGGTAAACAGGAAGAACAGATTGACTTTATCAATCGCGGGCATCAAGGAGATTGACTCTTTAATTGTTGAATTGACGAGGTATTGATGTAGCAATTGTAGAGGGGAAATTGATGATTTTCTTTGTTTTGTGTTTTGTCAAAGTTAAAAATCAACTTCGTCGTAGAAGAAAAAAGAAATGTTCCAAGGTTATGGGATGTACAGATCTGTATATTGCTTTGGAAAGGACGAAGAAGTTGAATTGGTCCTTCCAGTCGCTGCATGTTTGCATTGGCTACCCACTGTCCAGGCCAGGATCCAAACGCTATTAGGTGCAGCAGCTAAACTGCTATGGTGGGGGATGACGTAGGGCTGTAAATTAGTCCCAATTCGATCTAGCTCAGTGCTACTCCCACTAATCTCAGGTACCTACGTACACATCGTACATCTCCCCAGCGACGAGTAGAACTGTTTTTAGATCGTTTTGACCTTTCATCAAACGAAATCAAACATCATGAGCGTATATTTGGTGTATATACCTTACTTGATCCTTTTCAAGTAGCTCCGTTATTGAATGAGGAATATAGTACTTCATAACCAAGAAAGTTACCTTGTACTCGTTTTAGATCATGGTTACAAATTAATCGACGTCATTTCATCCCCCCCCCATTTCCCCAACCCTCAAGTTGACAAAAAAGTCTCAGGTCTTAGAATACACCAGGGGTAAAATCGATGACTTGACCTTTATCAATTATGTCTTTAACGCTGGCGATAAACTCTAGATGAGCTGGATCCTCGTCAAGATAATACTTCCTATCTTCCTCGCACTCGAACTCAAAAATGAATGCGTGCGTCATTCCATCCTATCACCAAACTCGTCAGCATGATAGTCATGTAATACAAACAACATTACCAGGTAGGTAGGAAAATAAAAATGAAAAGACGTCTAACCTGTTTTCCTTCAGGGCTGGTATCTTTACCTCCGCCGTGAACCTTCACATACGGCTTCTGGGATGTAGGATGGATGCAGTTTGACCCTAGAGCCAGCATCCGCTCGCAAGCCTGAACAAGGTCAGTCCAGTCCACAAACATATTATTACTAATAATGTTTTTCATGTATAGGTCCCTTACAGCCTTGTCCTCCTCAGGCGGCACAAGAGCTTTGAATTTGAATAGGACAATATGATAAATTCCCATGACGATGGTGATGATTTGAATAGTGTAAATACCTATATTTGGTTAAAGTAATGGATATATTCGTACGTATTATTTACAGCAGAATAAAGCTGTTCCAGGGTTCTTATAGGGTTTAGTTTAGTCAGTCACTGACGTTTGGTCAAATGACCATTGGTCTGGTGATATGCAATATGCATTTGAACTAGTATTTATTTAGAGAGGTACCTAGGTAGGTATCACATGCTTTTGGGTGGTAAAGTTGTCATTTGGGTTGAGCAGTTTATTGATATGCAACTAAACGTCAAACGATCTGCCGTCAATGGTACCTAGGTACCTAAGGTACCTAATAAGATTTGTCAAATCCATCTTAACTCCGAATCCTAAATCTATTCATTAATAGAACCCAAGAACTTACATACTGTAGTCTGTAACTGTCTTTGACGGTACATACGCAACAACCAGTCAACTTCATTCACATAAAACTTAAGAGAGTTGGAAATACCCGATTACTCCTTATCAGATTTGAAATTCCAATATGAGAAAAATTGATGATGAGCCCGAGGATGAAGAATTGGGCGTGTTAGAGGATAAGACAGAGGCACTCACTCTTCGCTCGAAACGTACCGAAAGAGCTAAGAAAAAGCAGGCGAAGAAGATTAAAAAGACCAACCAGCCGCTAGACCTCTTGAGCCTACCTTATGAGCTCGTCTTGGATATATTAACCCTACTTCGACCCAGCGACATCTTCAACCTCCAACGGGTCAACCGGGCTTTCCATGAACTCATCGTCAATGATGAACTCCGGATTACAAGGGCTATCACAAGTTGGCGCTATGTCTGCCTGGAGAAATGCTTCAGACTACCTGTACTCATGGAGCATATTGACCCCAACATCCAGCCTTATATCCAGAGTCCTGAACGGCAGGAACTTCTGATCATCCATAAGAAGCCCTACCAGCACGTCCAAGCTCCAGACCCGGCAGAAATATGCACCTGTCTGTCCTGTTTACTGCGATGGTCCTCCCTCTGCCTCATTGTTGACTTCGCATACTGGCAGAAAAATCTGGACATCGGCGAACCCATTCCCATGATCCCTCGTGGCACTCACCCTGAATGGAACCAGACTCTGATAGCTTCAAACGCAGCCATCGTACGCAAGGCTTTGCGCAGGCCGCTCTGGCATGCTCGCTTATTTGAGACTCATTTGGATTCTACTACAAGGTCAATACGTCGACAGGCCGCCAATAAAGGTAATAAGCGACGGCGGTTCCGCATGGAGAGAGAAGACATTGAGTCTGGTTCAGATCTTTTCCTAGACAGGAGTGGACCGCCAAGCTTCGATTTCCCATTTCATAGGGACAACTACTATATGTTAGAGGCATATCTCCCGAATAGGGGATGGAGCGGCGATTACGATAGGTGGATGTACGTGCCGGCTGAGCAGCACAATACGGATATTCATTACA